CTCAGCGCAGCCCCCAGACCCATCCTGGAGGTGGCTGCCCCGTGGGCTGTCCCCTCCCCAGGACTCCGAGCCCGCAGTGTCCCCAGGAGCACCCTGGAGGCAGAGCGGGGCATCTCCCACCCCAGAGCATCTGCCAGCCCCAGGCTGATCTCCTGCCCGTGCCAGCTCTGCGTGTAGCCCGTGCCACAGCCCCACCCCAGGCGAGGTGCCTTCCTTGGAGTTTGGGAAAGGTGCTGAGCTGGGAGGGAGGTGATTAATTATGGCTAAAAAAAAATCCCGTGACAACTCAGCCCTCGTTGTTCTCAGGAAAAGGGCTCAGGACCTGCCGAGCCAGGTGAGGAGGGAAGAGATGCAAAGGGCACATCTGGGGACGCAAAGGGCACATCTGGACACAGCTGTCAGCCTGGTCTAGTGCAAAGTGTCCCTGTCCATGGCAGGAGGTGGAATGGGATGAGTTTCAGATCCCTTCCAAACCGAACCATTCCGTGATTTAATGATCTTTCATTTGTGCTGAAGGAAGGTGGGACCCCTGCTCTCTGTGCTGCTCTGTGGGATGGGACAGGGACATGGCTGAGGAGCAGAGGGAAACCAGGAGCACCAGAACTCCGAGGGTTTGTCTGTGAGTCAGGGCAGGACCAGAACTGGAGCTGTGCAGAGAAAATTGGGTGGGAGCCAGGGGGAAAAGAATGCCTCAATCCTGGCTGAGGAGTTGTTTTTCACTTCTAATGTTTCCTGGTGTGTGCGCTGGGACAGCCGGGTCAGGCAGAGCCTGGAAATCTGTTTCCTCAGTGGCCCGTGGTGCAGAGCAAGTGCAGGGGAGCAGCAGAGGAGCTTCTTGGGGTCTGCAGTGCCCTCAGTGAGGCTGGGATGGGGAAACCGGGCAGGAGATGCCGACACGGACATGGAGCTGAGTCTGGCGTTTCCCAACCTCTCTCACATTTGCTTCAGGCAGGATGATGGAATGTGCAATTTTAGTTGTTTTCCATGTGTCCTGGGAAGGCCAGGGCAGATCCCCGCGCTGGCTCAGAGCAGGATGCTCCTCCCCAGAGCTCTCAGCTGCTCCTTTCAGCCAAGCCCAGCCCAGCCCGGCCTGGCTGATGACTCGGAACATGTGCTGGCCACACACACGGCCCTCCCTCAGGAAACTGCAGCCCCTGAGACGTGAAGTCATCTCGTGCGTGCTGTAACCTCCCTGGAATGCGCCCTCAGATGTTTGTCTTTCGACTGGAACCCATCAGTTCCCTGTGCTGAGGTGATTTTTGGGAAAAACCTCTTCCTCATCACACCGTACTTCCACTGGCAGGCTCAGGCATCCGACCTCTTCCCTCCAGGCTGGGAGCTCCCCAGCCCTTCCCTGGCTCTCTCCTGCCCGGGTTTGTTTGTCCCTGTTATCACAGAATAGGTGGGGACATTCCCTGCCTGGTGGCATCAGAGCTGCTGCAGCCTCACACGAGCCAGCTGGAGGGATGGAGGGATGGAGGGATGGAGGGATGGAGGGATGGAGGGATGGAGGGATGGATGGAGGAGCCCTGTAAAACCCTGGAGCTTTCCCAGGAGGGATGAGGAGCAGCGTCCTCTGGAACATCCCAAGGTGGGACAGCAGCTCCCAAGACATCCATGCCATGGCCAGGAGTGTCCCCGTGCTCCAGCAATGGATGACAGGCAGGGACAGGCAGGGACAGGCAGGGACACACAGTGACAGGCAATGACACAGAGGGACAGGCAGGGACAGACAAGTTCTGCTGCAGCTCCTTCCCTGGGCTGGGCTGCCCAGTCCCAGCACCTCTGCGGTTCCTCACACAGCAGATCTGATCTCCTGGCACAATGATCTCCTGGCACAATGATCTGATCTCCTGGCACAATGATCTGATCTCTTCACGCAGTGATCTCCTGGCACAATGATCTCCTGGCACAATGATCTGATCTCCTGGCGCAATGATTTCCTGGCACAGTAGATCTCCATCTCCTCGCATAGCTGATCTCCTCGCTCCCTCTAGTGGGATTGGGATGGCTGCGTGGGCAGAGAAGAAGAAGAGAGGAGTGAAGAGGGGAAGGGGAGGAGGAGGAAAAGAAGAGAGAAGAGGAGGAGAGG